GTAGGGAAAAGTCTTTGTGCATGGAAGGAGACAGAGTCTGTGTGTGTATGTGTCAGCGTTTCTTGGTGTAGAGTAAGGACAATATTTGTGTTGGGATCCAGTGTGCAATAACTGGACAACATCTGCCACACAGTTTGTTAAAGCTGTTCAGTAATCTGCATAGTAACTCATGCTGTTCTTATTCATAAGGCTTTGTAGCTTAGAGTGATTCATCCGTTCTGTATCACATCAGCCAAAGTAACTGATGTAACAAAGAAAGTCTAAAACTTGGGAAACTCGGAAGTCCAAAGAGTTCTGACTTGCTTGTTCTGTAAATTGTCAGTATGTTTGATAGGTAGATTGCCTTGGTAATGTGTGCTACAGAGTGTTTTTTCTAGGGGCAAAAAAAAAATGGAAAAGCTCTACACTTCATTTACAGATGTTTTGATTCTTCCATGTTATAATAATCTCGAGAGAAGTGTTTTCTTAATGTTGGGTTTAACATCCCCTGATCCCAGTGAAGCAGTCAGACTGCTTCGTGGATTTGGATCATTTGCTGCCTTGTTAATAGTAATCAGAGAATCTACGTGCAGTACATACCAGCCTCGATAAAGACTGATGTTTACAGGTTACACTTCTAAATTGTTGATAAATTCTTTCTCTCTTTTTTCTGCCTTTCTAAGATACTACGCTTATCTTCAGCAAGCGCAAGCTTTTTACACATTTCCATTCCACCAAATGATGACTGCAGCGCCTAACATGGAAATGATGTCGGAGCAGCCAACTCTAGAGGGCGTTCCAGAGCAAAACATTGCTCAGGAGCCTCCAAAAGGTAGTTTGACTGGGCTGTGCTAAGTGAGCTGGAACGTTAGTAATCGATTGGGGAAAAAAATACTGGTCTTAAACTGCTTCTTTGGGCCTTTGGGATTTCCTTTTCTTGATCCTTTCTGAGGAAGTATTGATTAATTGTATTCTTTAAGTAATGATTTTTTACCAAACAATTAAAAAGGTAAGAACTAAACCCAGGTGATAGAATTTGCATTATTTTGTCTCAAAATTATCTTGTTGCAGGAAAAACAAAGCTTTGTTTCAGTAGATAAACTTATGACTTTTAGCTGATTTAATAGTATTGTTAGACAAGTTTTCCCTTCTCAGGCTCAGTTTTTTTTATTTTATTATTATTTCTGCAAGAAAAGTACTGTATTAGTACTCACTGTCTGAAATATTTATTAAACAGAACAGTGTTTTAGTGTGTTGTAGTAATCACAGATAGGCAATCGCTTGTATACTGTAAGGATTGTTTGTTTTTACTGGGGCTTATTTAAACGAATACAAGCAATGTTGGAAAGTCTCCTGTATGTGACACAAGTTGTTTTATTTCATGCACTTACACATTTCCTTTCCCCAGCTAGGATTTTGTAAACTTAGGCTTTGCCTTAACCATGCCAAGAAAAGATTCCTTGTTCTGTTACTTTTATGCTTGCTGTTTAGCACATAAAAGAGGCAGTGATCTCTGCCATGCTTAAATTCTGATTCCATAGTGAATATTCACAAAGAGAGTTTCATCTTACTTTTTATATATAGAGACAGATCAGAACTGTCTGTACCAAGGTAATCTCTCAGCCAGCTCATGCAATGACCTTGCTTCTATAAGTGCATCCTTTGATAAGCTTCATTTTTCCTTTTTTAGTTGTAATGCTTGGCCAGATGAAAGCATAGGAAGAAAACCTCCAGTTTAAAACAGTTGCAACTGCTCTAGTTACTCACTGTCTTGTTAGAGTTAGGATACATCTTAAGTGCAGTACAGTTAGGCTTCTTTTGCAGCCTTATTATTGAATAATGCAATGTCACCATGCACACAATGTTTGACTGCACTTTCAAGAATTTTTAGACAACCTTGTGTTACGAAGTTGTTCCCTAATGTTTTTGCAAGAATTGGAAGTTGAATAAGGTGTTCAAATGCAGGGCTTGAAGATTTACCAAATATGTGTGAAATTTACTAGAGAATATATGAAAGGCAAAGGTTTGCGAGTCCAGATACCTGCTGTGATAAAAACAGTCCAACTTTCAGGATTACATTTGAAAGTGTTGGTTAACTTTTATTACAGGGTCTGGTTGGTGGGTACCTGATTGGCATGAGAATTAGGAGAATATTATCCTTCTTCATTTGAAATACAGTCAACTCAGAGCAGTTATGGTATCTGTTGCACCAGTCTGTCCCATTAAAAACCTCCTTGTTCTTCAAGGAGCAGGACAGAAAAGCTACTTATGTGCCTCACCAAGTCTGTGCCTTTCTGGTCTCTTGCTCATTGTAACTAGATTGTAGCTTGAGGATTGTTACAGCTTTCCTAAGCAGTCACTCCAATGACATGGTGGGAATTTCATGTGACTTTTGTCCTTCTTTTAAGAAAGCTGAGTGTAAACAAAAACAGCCCCAAAAATGTTCACAGACTTAAGGCAGTGCCCTGGCATCCACCACATTTATTTCTTATCTGAGGGAAAGTTTCATGTAGAAATTTAAAAAATAAGACAGAGTTTCAGTTTTCAAGTAATAGATTGCCTGGGCTCTTTGCTGCTAAATATGTTTTCATACTTTTGAAGTTGTGTTCTGCAACTTGACATGATTAATAAACAAGGCTAGGGAGCAATCTCTGGGTGGTCGTGTCATGGCTAGTACCTGTGCTGATTGAATCCCTAAGCTTTAGGGGCCAGAAGATGAGGAAGTTTCAAATGATTGGAGAGTGACTACTTTATGTTTGCATTTTGTAAATAAAAATTAGTGTTTGGTGTCACTCACTCAAACTGAGATCCTGAAGCTCTTATGCGTTACCTTGCTGCAAGATGCACTGGACAGCATCTGTTCTGTAAATGATAAATTGTAAACAGCTTATGCAGCATTCATCCTCTATGTCTGTTCCTGACAAGCTTATACCTTACACTGGAGGTAATCTTTGAGATGTGTTGTTTTTGAAATGCTGTTCAGATTCTTCAGTATGTGAAATAACTGGTAAAAATCGGCTTTCATATTTAGAAGCTGAAGTATCCATAGTGGACTAGAACTTTCTACTGCATTCCTGGGACCTAAGCTTTGATGTTCTGGCATATCCTTAGAAAGAAACTGTTTCTAAAGGATTGTTGCATACAGGATATGAACAACATAACCTAGTCATGACATTATTTTTGGTTTGTATCCTAAGTCAGTGTAGTTGCCTGCAAGTAGTGTCTGTGGTCCAGAGAAACCCAAGCTAGCTCTGCTTTGAGCGTGCAAAATTGAGATCTATCTGATAATTGTTTAATGAATTTTGAAGGTAGATTTATCTGTCTGATTTCTTTTTCTGTCCATACATTTAGCTCAGTCTTTTTGAATAACCACACTGCTACATAAGAAACATACAAAAATGATACTTGCTGTGTTTCAGAAGTTAAAAAAGGAGGAAGGAAAAGAAAAGCCAAAGCAACTGAGCCAAAGCAACCCAAAAAGCCTGCTGCTAAGAAAGAAAAAACAGCCAAGTCAAAAGGCAAACAAGAAAAGATCACAGATACTTTTAAAGTCAAAAGAAAAGTGGACCGTTTTAATGGTGTATCTGAAGCTGAACTTCTGACCAAAACTTTACCTGATATTTTGACCTTTGATCTGGACATTGTAATAGTAAGTAACTCATAGTTAGAAGATTAGGTAGAAAAGTGAATAACCTGTGTGCTCTGGTTATGGTTTACATTCCTTCTGCTTACTTATCTGTATTGCTTATGTGACAAGATCTTGCAAGATAAAGTATATAAGCTGTTTCCTGTGTGTAGAGCTGCTTTGCATTTTCTTTTAAAAATCATAGTAACATAGTTCTGATTTCTGAGAAGTCTAATACAGTCAGGAGAGACTGTAACTTGACACTTTGTTTCCTGGAAGCACTAAAGCAGTGGCTGTAAAATGCACTGTGGGCTGCTCTTTTAGTGTTACATCTAAGTGAGGCACTGCTGTAAAATTGCCAATTTTTAAAAATAATTATGGAAGGTACAATTAACACTGTTTTGTTTTTTGACAGTAACTTAAAGATAATTGAGTAAGTGTTTTTACTATAAATTGATTAAATTCCTGACTAGCAAGCCACATTTTTATCATTAAAATGGACTGGTATCTTTTGTAGATTGGCATAAACCCTGGCTTGATGGCAGCTTACAAAGGACATCATTACCCTGGACCTGGAAACCATTTTTGTATGTTTTTGTTTTCCTTTCTTCTTACAAAATTCACAGAACTTTGTTAGAACTTGTGGCATTTTAATTAAATTTATTTGGCTTTTGGTTTCTGCATATGTTGCTGTTGTTAATACAGATACAGATTTTGCTTTTAACCATCCGAGAGTGATTTACATCCCATAACTATTTCTGTCAAATACTGTACATAAAAAAGGAATAAAAGGAATAATAAGTGACTTTCAGTGCAGGTTTATAATTGTCATATAAACACAGTTTACCAGATTGTATTACCAAATAAGTTCTTGGACTGATAGTGTGCAAAAAAAGGGACAAAAATTAAATCTCTGGTACTTGAGTTACCAGGGGTAAGTCAATAGGCATCAATTTCTGATGTAAAGCAAAACTACACTAATTTTCCCAAAAATGCATTTCAGCAACCCCTCTTCTTCTTCTGACCTCTTCCTAATGTTTGCTAAACAAGCTTTCCAACTGATGAAAAAGCAAAAAATATGCCCTTTCCCAGCAGACATATGCATCTTGTGCACCTGATTGCAATAGCAGGGTTGTAAAAGAAAACTGACATTTCTTGTATTTGCTACATTCTTTCCCACAAAAATCCACTTTGATCACGTTCACTCCCTGCTTAGGTGAATCACAAAATCTAAAGCTCTTGCTTTTCTTCAGAATAAAAGTTTCGTTTCCATACACAGGACCATGGTGAGGAATTCCTGTTATTCGCTAGGGATTTTCCATCCTCTTGCAGTAAATAAAGTAATTTTGGCTATTTTAAACTTCTGTATAGGGCACTAGTCTTCTCAAATTAACTAATGGTCTGTTCTTTGTTTGGAGGGTTTTGTTTTGTTTTCCTTAGAAAAACACAAATGTATATCTTCCTGCTTCACAGGGAAGTGTCTGTTCATGTCTGGTCTAAGTAATGAACAGCTGAACCATATGGATGACCACACCTTGCCACATAAATATGGAATTGGATTTACAAACATGGTTGAAAGGACAACACCTGGAAGCAAAGACCTCTCCAGGTAGGATAACAAGGATATGTATCGTGCTCATGAATGAATTAATAGCTGTCATTATAATTTTGAATACTGTCTCTTTTAGCAAGGAGTTTCGGGAAGGAGGGCGAATCCTGATGCAGAAGTTGCAGAAGTATAAACCTCGTATAGCAGTTTTCAATGGAAAATGTGAGAATCTTGATTTTAAAGATGTTTGTTCTGGGTTTTTGGGGGTGTTTTTTGGTCCACTTATATGCATCTTCTTTTTATTTTAGGTATTTATGAAATTTTTAGTAAAGAAGTTTTTGGAATAAAAGTTAAGAATTTGGAATTTGGATTACAGCCACACAAGGTGCCAGACACAGAAACTGTAAGTGTTGATACTGAGAAACATGCTGATTGTCTGCAGCTGCAGGCTTGTTTTGGGAAATGGTATTCCGTGGTTAGTAGATTAGTGCATTTCCTGCAGACTGCCTAAAGTACAAATACAATCATGTGCTTTTAGGATAACTGTAGTTTACTTTAATCTGATTGTCTGTGTCCAATTCCCTGTATGTTTTTGTTACTGAATTTTGACACCAAACATGACTATGGTGCTAGTATTGCCACAGTGAGAAGAACAGGAAGTGCATCGTTGTGCTGTTACACACTGTATCTACAGCATTGCTGGGTCTGGGCATGCTCAAGCACTTCCACCAGGCTCAGTCTTACTAAGCTGATTTGAAGCTTGAAATTACACTGAGCACTTAAACAGTTTGATGAAGAGTGCATTAGTCATAGACATCAAGTGCTGGAAGATATCTCAAAGAGACTAGCTATGCATCATGGCAAACCGGTTTCATAGAATCATAGAATCATAGAATCTTAGGGGCTGGAAGGGACCTCGAGAGATCATCTAGTCCAACCCCCCTGCCAGAGCAGGGTCACCTAGAGTACATCACACAGGAACTCATCCAGGTGGGTTTTGAATGTCTCCAATGAGGGAGACTCCACAACCTCCCTGGGCAGTCTGTTCCAGTGCTCTGTCACTCTTACAGTAAAAAAATTTTTTCGGATATTCACCTTGAACCTCCTATGCTCCAATTTACACCCATTACCCCTTGTCCTATCACTGGTCATCACTGAGAAAAGCCTAACTCCATCCCCCTGACACTCACCCCTTACATATTTGTAAACATTGAAGTTTGTTTAACCTGTTCTTATAAACAGGTTAAGGCAAACCTGTCAATGCTATCTGCCGAGGTAACTTATTCCAAAGCATCATTACCTTGTAATCTCAAAAGATTCTTTTTACTTCCATCTCAAATTACTAGTGCAGCAAGTTTAAGCTGTCCTTCACTAAAGGTGAAGTATTGCCACTAGAGCCTGAAGAGCTGTTGTTGATAAAGTGCTTGCTTCTTAAGTAGCTCTTAAAGGCTTCCGCAGTAGATGTATTTTTAAGAGAGATAAATAATCCTTTTTACTAGTACTTGTTCATAGGTACTGCATGATAATCAAAATATTGGATACAGTTCCTTTGTCCTGAACTAGCTTTATGTATTTAGTTAGAGCTGTTGACAGAGATACAGATGCTTAAGTTGGCTTCAACCACGCTCTCTCCAGAGTTTCAAACCCTGACAAGTGTCATGCAGACTCACTTGGCCCATAGGGCAGGCTAATTAACCTGTGATGCCTCCCTCACTGGTTTGGAGTGTTTGCATGGAGTGTTTGCATGCTATCACATACTCCTCTGGGGATTTTCTGGCTCAGAGCTCTACTTGCTCAAGGAGCTCTGGAGTGTGCTCCACTCTGTTACACACTTACAAATTGTACTTCTTGTAACATATACCGGTACCCCTGCTTCTGCAACACATAAACAACTCGTGAAAATTGTCCTCGCTTCAGCAGCTGATAATCAGCCCCCCTCTTTAGGGTAAGACATGTAGCTGGCCAAGAAAAATCAAAGAGGCCTTTTATCCTCTTCCACAGCCACCCGTGGCACTAGTTGAAGTCTGTACAAAGGGTTAGACAATTAACTTGACTGTTTAAAGTCATTCTCAATGCACTGTAGACTAGCTCATAGCTCAGAGACCAGTAATGCTATTTTTTCCTCTCTTTCTCAAGCTCTGCTATGTTATGCCGTCATCCAGCGCAAGATGTGCTCAGTTTCCTCGTGCACAAGATAAAGTTCATTATTACATAAAGCTGAAAGACTTAAGGGATCAACTGAAAGGCATTGCACCAAACACAGAGGTGCAGGAGGTGCAGTACACGTTTGACTTGAAACTTGCACAAGGTATGGTGCTTATTTTCTTAGTCCTTTTTAAAATGTAGTGTAATGTACAACACAACTAGCAGTTTCCCAAGCAAAAAAAAGTAGAATTTAAGGGGAGGGAAGAGATGTACCATCTTTTTTAAATCACATGGTGTAGAATTACACATTCTGCTCTCTTTTTAGTACAATCTTAATCACCTAGGAGGAGCAGGGGTTATCTTGTAACGTGTGGCTGTTTTTTCAAGTGTTCTCTTTGGTAATTTTTGTTCTGAGTATTAATACTTGAGGCCTTCTCTTTCGGCAGAGGATGCTAAGAAGATGGCTGTCAAAGAAGAAAAATACGACCCGGGTTACGAAGCAGCGTATGGAGGAGCTTACTGTGATCGTGCGCCGTACGAAAGCGATCAGTGCAATTTCTCTTCCAATGGAACTGGTAAAGTGCAGTGCTTGGGGTGCTCAGCCTGCAAACCATTTCCTTATGAACAAGTCATGCAATGGCAGGGGTTGGAAGGGACCTCTGGAGATCATCTAGTCTAACCCTCCTGCTAAAGCAGGTTCGTCTAGAGCAGGTTGCCCAGGATCATGTCCAGACAGGTTTTGAACATCTCCAGAGAAGGACACTTCCTAACGTGTAACTTTCTACCCTTTCAAACACTTGCACAATGCATACAATATATTTGAAGTAGAGCAGCAGTTAAAATCTTACATAATTGAGGGAATGGATAGCTTTAGTGAAAGGGAAATAAATAAATTTATTTTAAATCAGTTGCCTGTAACTTCAAACTGTTTTCCCAAACTCTGATTCCCAAGATCTGACAGACAGACACAACCAGGTACTTACACACCTGTACAACCTCTTCAACTACAATGACTTGTATAACTGAATCATGCTTTTCAGAGCAAAAGGCAGGGCTGACACTTCCTTTAATTTTCATTCCTTAGGAAAGTGAAACCAGAGAATTGTGGAACAGAGAAATAACAATGTGATTGAAGTGGCTCCATTGCTGGTGGGCCAGACTGAAGGAGCAGTGTTGGAAGGATGAGTCTAGTAATCTAGCAGCAATTAAGAAGCTGGGAATTTTAATTCCCAAAATACCACTAACTGTAATTAAAAAAATACATGACAATAGCAGAAGCAGTAGCTTTGGAGTAACCAGCTTCCTCTGAAGTCTTGAATTCTCAGTCCTAATCTCAGGCAGTGAATTGAAATTTGCAGTCTGGCTACCCTGCTTTGTCAAAGAGAGTGTCTGAGGAAAAAAAAAACAAAACAGTCATAGGAAACACTGCAAAGTGAAGTATTCTTTTAAAAAAACAATTAGACTCTTAATTTATATCTATGCACTCACCCTTCAAAGATTTGAAGAAATTATTTGAGGAAATTACCTCAATCTACAAAAACTAGATGCTCAAAGGAAGTGACTTTGAATTGCAGCCTGAAGTGGTTGAAAAGAGGAAAGATGGAAACTACAAACATATATATTTTTTATTATTAGTGGTTTTAAGAGGTTGTGTGTGGGGGCTTGGAGTTTGTTTTGGGATTTTGTTGTGGTTTTTCTAGTGGTATCATCTGTATTTTAATCGTTTGATTTTGGTTAGTGGTATCAACTTCATTTTTTAACCTGGATGTTACTGGTTTGTTTGTTTCAGCAGCAAGCAATCTGCAGTACTGTGAGGGGTCCTCTTTCGGTGACATTCCTAACGGACACTGGATGACACAGTCCTTTGCAGACCAGATTCCAGAGTTCAGGGCTGGGGTGCCACGGGAAGAAGAGGGAAGCAGTGCCTGAGAGCTGTTTCTTCTCGGCTATGCCTACATGCTGCAGTTTTAATGCAGTGATCAAGATTGGTACCTCGGTTCTCCAACTGAAGCATTTTAATAGTATTTTATCTCCCCTAGCTATTTTATTATAGTCCAAAGTAAGTGTGTGGTAGGCTTAAATCAATGAACTAGATAATTTTAAGGAACTGTCCAAACTTTAAAAAAAAAAGTTAGCCCTTTTTTGTATATGAGTTTTATATTTAATGTGTACCATTTCTTGCAGTTTTTGACAAATTGCTTTCTCATTTGTGAAGATTTCTTTGGGGCGTTAATTTTATTCCATAAATCCTACTGCAGTAGTAATGGCAGCAGTATGCTTCTTACTGATGCCTCAGTATTTGGGTATCTCCTCATTCCTTTATATCCAGAGGGGAAAATGAGAAGTGTACCCATGTCTTACATGAAGTAGTGTTTTTAATCATGCACAGTTAAGCAAATTGTGCTTTTCAAGTCTGCCTTTTACCTTCTTAAAAAGTGCAGAAAGTTGTGTTCTGCAGCTGCGAATACTGACTGTTTTCTGGGTGGGAAGAGAGAGCTGTCTGTTTCATGGTTGGACCACATTCAGGGTTAAGGGAGCAGAGGCTTCATTTCAACTCACAACACCGGGGAAGAAAATCTGTGTCGCACAGGACAGGGGCTAAATATTTTATCTGAGCTGTCTTGGGGTCCATCTCTTTCCACCTTAAATTTTAATGTAAAAAACTGGAATTCCTTAAGGAGACAAACAAACAAAAACGAACAACAGAGATTCTTGAATTTAAACTGTGGGTCATTTCTGTGTGGTTATTTTCTTCACCTGACTTCACCAGGCCACAACCCCTTTGAACAGATTACATTGCAGGGAATTGAAAGACCATATTCCCTGTAATAACCACGTACAGCTGTGTTGTTTACATCAGGTACAATTAGCAAGAGGGTGACAGCAGTTTGCATTGAACTGTTTTTAACACTGAGTTTCTCTTCAATCTTTTAGACCTTGGAGAGTGTTCTCCATATTCTTCTTAGAAGTGAAAAATACTAAGTTAAATGAGGGCAGCTGTTCCATTAATAAATTTTCAGCTGCAGAAACAATAGGTCTGTTCTGAGGAACTTGCTTACACGATACACATTTTTGGCCAACATTAGTGACTGAGAAAGAAATGAAATTCCATGCTTGTGCCTAACCATCATCATCTTTCCCTCATCATGTGAGGAAGAGATGAAGTAAAAGCAATAAGCTGAATACAACATTAGAAGTTTTGATGACAATAGGTCCTTCACATACTTGAAAAATAGATACAAACAGTATCTACAATCCACACTGGTCAGAGATTCCTCTACCAGTATGTTTTACCCTTTTCTCACAGCCAGGGACAGTTGTCATACATTGAGTGTAACTAGTTAGTGCAGATTCAAATCCTGCTGTAACAGCTCTCACTGAGATCACACACTGTCAGCCTGGTGTGAGACAGGCATGATGTTTACAGTTTCCTTCCCAAATTATGTGGCTTAATTCAGAGCATCTTAAATCAAGACAATGTGCATTATGGTTCTGATTGTGCTTATTAGCTTCAGCATAAAGCTGTTCAGTATAATGTCAAAAAGGTATAGGACTTGTCTGTTATTTAAAGTGTACTGTATCATGTATTGTTGTTTACATGGATGTTTTCCTGCAGGTGCTCAAAGTATCTTGCATCAGGGATTTGTTACAATTCAATTTTATTTTTCAGCAAAACTAGAAGCATGTAATTAGCACTGCTGAGTATGTAGCACAGTAGGATGGAACTACTGCAAGGCTATCCCATGTGATTGGAAGGGAAAGGTCTCTTCTTAAGGGAGTCACCTACAAGGTATCTGGGTATAAAATACTGAAAAGTGTACATGACCGTTTCACTAAATACTGCAATTCTATGTGTATTCCCTCTGAACTGGTGCTCTTTTCATTACAGTAATACAGAAGTTCTTAACCTGTCTTAAATCTATCAATGTTTCACAATAAAATCAGGAATTGTATTGCAGTGTCTTAGAATGTGCTTTTGCATCTCACTCCCAGGGTCAAAATGCACTACAGGGTAAATCATACACAGTAGGAACACTGCAGAACAGTCACTGTGCAACAGAACTCTACTCAAATTTTCACTTGGGGCAGTTTAAATGTGGGCTAGACAACTGAAAACACGTGGTATGTAATACTGCAAGTACTTCCTCTGTAGATTTTTCTACCAGCAGACATTGGAGTCTTGTTTATGAAGACCTTCCATTAAAACACAGTCTGGCACAAAATTTCACCTCTGTAACCGTTTAATGAGAATACTTAATTGTCAAATTAACTCAGTTCCTCACCTCACATGACATTCAAAATAATCTGAACTGTGTAACTATCACTCCAGCCTCCCTCTCCATCTATAAGCACATATAATTTATTCATACATTTAACAAATACTTAGTTTTCTAAAATCAGTTAATTATACAACATGCTGGATCTCAAACTACTGCATACTGCAAAACAGAGTGTATGGATGCATTTAAGTGTTTTCAGTATCAGCTGTCAGGACGAGTTAATTTGAACTTCCCTGATGGGTCAGGAATAAACCAGTTTTCCCAGAGATCAGTGTGAACACTGGGATAGTCCCAAGGTTTATATCTCCCATTCCAATGAAGTAATTTAGCTTCTTGAAGAAAATGCTCTGAGTAACGGGTGTCAGGACTCCAACCTGAATGGACAGATTACAAAAAAAAAAATCTGTTTTTTAGTAATGAAAGATGCTACACAGTGAGATAAATTCAGTTGTGGTTTTATTTTAAGAAGTCTAGTAAGTATGGTTTCACTTCATAACAGAAAACTAGTTGTATCAAAGTAGCTTCTTTCAGCCTCATGCCTCTATTGCTACATCAGCAGTGCCATCTTCCTTCTCTGTGCCTACTGAAAGTGTGTCTGATTTTTTTTTTAGTCTCTCACTGTATTAAAATTTTTCATACATGGTTTCCATAGTTTATGACAATACAGGTTAGCTCGTATTCAACCATGTAACTTTGTCCTTGATATGTTGTTTTCCTTTTTTAATCCAATTTAATGGCTATCAGAGTTTCAGGGTTTTTTGTGGAGTTGCAACTATTTTGTTTGCTTCACCTGTTAAAATATTTCCATAGTGACACTCATGGGGAATGCCTCCATGCTGCCATACCCTGAGGAAAGCAGGACTAAAGGGGAAGCAAGGATTACATGCTGTGCATCTGACATACAAAGCAATGCACTGAGGTAAAGCAATGTAAGGTCCTGCATTGGAATCTTGGTTCACTTTTAGTTTCAACTGCAAATGGTGGGAAGTTAAACTTACCAAGATGCCTTATGTGCCACATGGGGTTAATGGTGGAATATTTGCCATGAAATACAATCAACATCGGAGAGGTTGCCACACCTCCCCCAAGGGTGCTGCTGTAGAGGTTTTCCCTGCAAAAGGAAAAAAAAAAATAGTCAGAAAATGTTCAAAATCTCAGAGTCCTCAGTACAAAAGTCAGAAAATTGGAAAAGTATGCTGGCAAAATTCCAAATATTTTTGAACAGGCCAGTTTTCAGCATACTCCTTCCTAGTGCTCTTAATCACTTTTTTGTGCAACTCCAATTCCCATTGAGTAAATCGTTGCTACCAAGCAAAATGGGAGTCAGACCCAACAGGAACACATCGCCTGTAGACTACAAGGCTGACAAAGTTTACAGTAGAAAAAGAGTTGCTAACATAAAGGAACCTGGTTTCTTCAGAAAGTGTACTGAATTACTAACTGCATCAATTAACTTCAAATATAAACTAACACCCAACAACTATCAATTTCCCCAGAACAGAGTGATAAATCCAGGGCTAGATAAAGCCCAACACTATAAGTAGCATGAGGAGGGAGCAGCAGTTTGGCCAAAGTGTGCCAAAGGTCTGGCTGGCTTGTCAGCACATGGACAAGGTCACCTCAGCTATAGGACACTGTGCCACCTGCCAGCCCAACAGAGAGGAAACGTTGGGAAGCACTGAGAGCTGCTTTGAGGATACAGAACAAAAAAAAAACCAAAATGCCGCTCAACAGACCAAACCCATAACCTCCCCTCAAAACTGGTTTTCAACTGCTAAACAATTTATTTCACTGTTGTTTCAAAATCTAGTTAAAAGGGACATTATTATTAAGGTATAAAATCAACTGTTAGATGAAATTTGCAGTAAGATTCACTGAGTTTTCTCAAACTCTTAAAAAAACAGCAGGAGGTTGTCAGGGCACGTTTTGTAGGCAGAGTAAGAAAAAGCACCATTTGGCTTCTCATTCCTTCACGGGTATCATTTGTGTTTCTTTGTTCATTTCTGAAACTAACAAGTAATGGATACAGGCCAACAGCACAAGCCATTCAGTCTCCCTTTAGTCTCACTAAATTTAAATTTAACCCTTTGCAGAGAAAGAAAGTACATGTCAAGTTTGCAAATACAGGTTAACAGTGAACTAATGTATAAAATATGTACAGTGACTCACTGTGTCAGAACTTATTTATGGTCGATGCCAAAAAGAGATCTTTAATGTCAAATGCCATTGATCTTTAGAAAAATAGATGTTTTCTATTGTGATTTAAGAAATACAGTGTCCAGCTATACTTTGGCTGATATTACAATAAAACGACTCCACACAAACAAGGGAACATTCCTCCTCCTTTAAGACAGCCTCAGGAGGGGAAGATTCCAAGTGGTTTGATCCCAAGTGAGGTTTCTCACCCAAAACAAGAACCACATGTTCTCACTGTCCCTCAGGATGAAATGTGGTTTGTGATCAAATGCAAACCTAAATTCCAGCTGGCCTTTTCCTGGTACACAACTGGTGAGATTTAAGCAGATGGAAATTCTGGAACATGAGTCACTTCATTTTATGAGATCTCAAAGGAAGACTGCTTGGAGTTCAAAACTGTTAAGGCCTTTTAAACAGAAAATTAAACTTTAAACTGAGTATTAAAAGTAAAGCACAAAGCCGTATTTCCATACGTACTCTACATTTCTTTGCATCCACTTTTCCAACTGCTTGGTAATCCGCTGATGTTTCCATTCAGTCATGTTAGCGACAATTACTCCAGGATTAAAGGAGCAGGTGCTGGGGCTGATGCCAAGATCTCTAATTGCTTGTTTTCTGTAGTCCAGGAATCCCATGTACGTGTTCTAAGACACAAAAAGTATGTTTCTCCCTATGAAGATAACTACGTGCCTCTCTCTATCACTGATATTGAGACTAAATGCACATGCCCCGAGTTGTATTTCTAGGTGATGACTACCTATCTTGATTTCCACAGGATACAAGACTGAAAGGCAGGATACCTCCAGCTACTGAATTACCTTTTCCACATATTGTTTAATGCAAGTTTGATAAGGCTCTTCCCTCACCATGTATTTGTCTTTCTGTAGCTTACTCTAAGTGATGTAGCATCAGGCCTTGTACAGCTGTCATGCTAGAGGGACTCAT